TTAGAGAGAGGCGGTAATCCGGTCAGCTGCTGGAGGCCTGAGCTACCGGGAGATATAACATGTAGACCGTTAGAGAGGAGAGTGTGTGTGTGTGTGTGTGTGTGTGTGTGTGTGTGTGTGTGTGTGTGTGTGTATGTGTGTGTGTGTGTGTGCGTGTGTGTGTGTGTGTGTGTGTGAGTGTGTTGTGTGAGTGTGTGTCACCCTTTCTCCCAGTGTGTGTGTGAGTGTGTTGTGTGAGTGTGATGACACTGAGCAGGGTGTGTGTGCGTGTGTGTGAGAGTGAGAGTGTGTGTTTGTTTGTCCCAGTGTGTGTGTTCCAATGTGTGTGTATGTGTCTATGTTTTTTATGTGTCCATGTGAGTGTCCTGCTGTGTGTATGTTTGTATGTGTATTTGTGTGTCTGTGTGTGTGTATCACAGTGTGTGTGTGTGTGAGACACTCTTTTGTTCCTGTAAGTACATTTTTGTTTTGGACTCAGACCTGCAGGTCCACAGAAGATACAAATAATCATACATACAACTGTGTGTGTGTGTCTCTGTGTGTGTGTGTGTGTGTGTGTGTGTGTGTGTGTTTGTGTGTGTGTGTGGGTATATGTGTGTGTGTGTGTGTGGGTATATGTGTGTGTGTGTGTGTGTGTGTGTGTGTGTGTGGTGTGTGTGTGTGTGGTGTGTGTGTGTGTGTGTGTGTGTGTGTGTGTGTGTGTGTGTGTGTGTGTGTGTGTGTGTGTGTGTGTGTGTGTGTGTGTGTGTGTGTGTGTGTGTGTGTGTGTGTGTGTGTGTGTGTGTGTGTGTGTGTGTGTGTGTGTGTGTGTGTGTGTGTGTGTGTGTGTGTGTGTGTGTGTGTGTGTGTGTGTGTGTGTGTGTGTGTGTGGTGTGTGTGTGTGTGTGTGTGTGTATTCCAGAGGACAAAGAGAGAATGGAGACCTCTGGAGGACCGGAGCTGCACAGACCTGCCCTGGTTCCTGCTCTTCACCATCTTCTGCGTCGGCATGGTAACGTATATATACAATGATGTACATTAGACCCTCTGACGTACAGTAGACCCTCTGACGACCCTCTGACGTACATTAGACCCTCAGACAACCCTCTGACGTTCATCAGACACTCTGACGACCCTCTGATGTATACCAGACCCTCTGACGACCCTCTGACATGCATTAGACCCTCTGATGTACACCAGACCCTCTGATGTACACTAGACCCTCTGACATGCATTAGACCCTCTGATGTACATTAGACCCTCAGACAACCCTCTGACGTTCATCAGACACTCTGACGACCCTCTGATGTATACCAGACCCTCTGACGACCCTCTGACATGCATTAGACCCTCTGATGTACACCAGACCCTCTGATGTACACTAGACCCTCTGACATGCATTAGACCCTCTGATGTACACCAGACCCTCTGATGTACACCAGACCCTCTGATGTACACTAGACCCTCTGACGTTCACCACACCCTCTGACGACCCTCTGACGTACACCAGACCCTCTGACGACCCACTGATGTACATTAGACCCTCTGATGTACACAAGACCCTCTGACGTACATTATACCCTCTGACGTACATCAGGCCCTTTGACGTTCACCATACCCTCTGACGACCCTCTGGCGTACATTAGACCCTCTGACGTATACCAGACCCTCTGATGTACGCCAGACCCTCTGACGACCCTCTGACGTACATTAGACCCTCTGACGTTCATCAGACCCTCTGACGTATACTAGACCCTCTGACGTACATTAGACTGATGTACACCAGACCCTCTGACATACATCAGACCCTCTGACGTACATTAGACCCTCTGACATTCATAAGACCCTCTGATGTACATTAGACCCTCTGACAACCCTCTGACGTACACTCTGATGTACACCAGACCCTCTGACGTACATTAGACCCTCTGACGTTCACCACACCCTCTGATGAACCTCTGACGACCCTCTGATGTACACCAGACCCTCTGACGTACATTAGACCCTCTGACAACCCTCTGACGTACATTAGACCCTCTGACGTTCATCAGACCCTCTGACGTACATTAGACCCTCTGACAACCCTCTGACGTACATTAGACCCTCTGACGTTCATCAGACCCTCTGACGTACATTAGACCCTTTGACAACCCTCTGACCTTTGTCAGACCCTCTGACGACCCTCTGACGTACATCAGACCCTCTGATGTACATTAGACCCTTTGACAACCCTCTGACGTACATTAGACCCTCTGACAACCCTCTGACGTACATTAGACCCTCTGACGTTCATCAGACCCTCTGACGTACATTAGACCCTTTGACAACCCTCTGACGTTCCCTCTGACAACCCTCTGACGTTCCCTCTGACGACCCTCTGACGTACATCAGACCCTCTGATGTACACCAGACCCTCTGACGTATATTAGACCCTCTGACTTACACCAGACCCCCTGACGACCCTCTGACGTACATTAGACCCTCTGACATTCATGAGACCCTCTGACGTACATTAGACCCTACGTTGTACACAAGACCCTCTGACGACCCTCTGACATACATTAGACCCTCTGATGTTCACCACACCCTCTAACGTACACTAGACCCTCTGACATTCATCACACCCTCTGACGTACACCAGACCCTCTGACGACCCTCTGATATACATTAGACCCTCTGACGTACACCAGACCCTCTGACGACCCTCTGACGTACATTAGACCCTCAGACAACCCTCTGACGTTCATCAGACACTCTGACGACCCTCTGATGTATACCAGACCCTCTGACGACCCTCTGACATGCATTAGACCCTCTGATGTACACCAGACCCTCTGATGTACACTAGACCCTCTGACATGCATTAGACCCTCTGATGTACATTAGACCCTCAGACAACCCTCTGACGTTCATCAGACACTCTGACGACCCTCTGATGTATACCAGACCCTCTGACGACCCTCTGACATGCATTAGACCCTCTGATGTACACCAGACCCTCTGATGTACACTAGACCCTCTGACATGCATTAGACCCTCTGATGTACACCAGACCCTCTGATGTACACCAGACCCTCTGATGTACACTAGACCCTCTGACGTTCACCACACCCTCTGACGACCCTCTGACGTACACCAGACCCTCTGACGACCCACTGATGTACATTAGACCCTCTGATGTACACAAGACCCTCTGACGTACATTATACCCTCTGACGTACATCAGGCCCTTTGACGTTCACCATACCCTCTGACGACCCTCTGGCGTACATTAGACCCTCTGACGTTATACCAGACCCTCTGATGTACGCCAGACCCTCTGACGACCCTCTGACGTACATTAGACCCTCTGACGTTCATCAGACCCTCTGACGTATACTAGACCCTCTGACGTACATTAGACTGATGTACACCAGACCCTCTGACATACATCAGACCCTCTGACGTACATTAGACCCTCTGACATTCATAAGACCCTCTGATGTACATTAGACCCTCTGACAACCCTCTGACGTACACTCTGATGTACACCAGACCCTCTGACGTACATTAGACCCTCTGACGTTCACCACACCCTCTGATGAACCTCTGACGACCCTCTGATGTACACCAGACCCTCTGACGTACATTAGACCCTCTGACAACCCTCTGACGTACATTAGACCCTCTGACGTTCATCAGACCCTCTGACGTACATTAGACCCTCTGACAACCCTCTGACGTACATTAGACCCTCTGACGTTCATCAGACCCTCTGACGTACATTAGACCCTTTGACAACCCTCTGACCTTTGTCAGACCCTCTGACGACCCTCTGACGTACATCAGACCCTCTGATGTACATTAGACCCTTTGACAACCCTCTGACGTACATTAGACCCTCTGACAACCCTCTGACGTACATTAGACCCTCTGACGTTCATCAGACCCTCTGACGTACATTAGACCCTTTGACAACCCTCTGACGTTCCCTCTGACAACCCTCTGACGTTCCCTCTGACGACCCTCTGACGTACATCAGACCCTCTGATGTACACCAGACCCTCTGACGTATATTAGACCCTCTGACTTACACCAGACCCCCTGACGACCCTCTGACGTACATTAGACCCTCTGACATTCATGAGACCCTCTGACGTACATTAGACCCTACGTTGTACACAAGACCCTCTGACGACCCTCTGACATACATTAGACCCTCTGATGTTCACCACACCCTCTAACGTACACTAGACCCTCTGACATTCATCACACCCTCTGACGTACACCAGACCCTCTGACGACCCTCTGATATACATTAGACCCTCTGACGTACACCAGACCCTCTGACGACCCTCTGATGTACATTAGACCCTCTGACGTATACCAGACCCTCTGACGTATACCAGACCCTCTGACGTATACCAGACCCTCTGACGTACACCAGACCCTCTGACAACCCTCTGACGTACATTAGACCCTCTGACATTCATCAGACCCTCTGACGTACATTAGACCCTCTGACATTCATCAGACCCTCTGACGTACATTAGACCCTCTGACATTCATCAGACCCTCTGACGTACATTAGACCCTCTGATGTACACAGGACCCTCTAACGACCCTCTGACGTACATTAGAGCCTCTGACAACCCTGTGACGTTCTACAGACCTTCTGACGACCCTCTGATGTACATTAGACCCTCTGATGTACACCAGACCCTCTGAATTACATTAGACCCTCTGACGTACACCAGACCCTTTGACGTTCACCATACCCTCTGACGACCCTCTGATGTACATCAGACCCTCTGACGTACACTAGACCCTCTGACGTACATCAGACCCTCTGACATTCATCAGACCCTCTGACGTACATTAGGCCCTCTGATGTACACCAGACCCTCTGACGTACATTAGACCCTCTGACGTTCATCAGACCCTCTGATGTACATTAGACCCTCTGACGTACATTAGACCCTCTGACGACCCTCTGACGTACATTAGACCCTCTGACGTTCATCAGACCCTCTGACGTACATTAGACCCTTTGACAACCCTCTGACGTTCATCAGACACACTGACAACCGTCTGGCGTACATTAGACTCTGTGACGTTCTACAGACCCTCTGACAACCTTCTGACGTACACCAGACCCTCTGACGACCCTCTGACGTACATTAGACCCTCTGACGTTCATCAGACCCTCTGACGTACATCAGACCCTCTGACAACCCTCTGACGTACATTAGACCCTGTGACGTTCTACAGACCCTCTGACAACCTTCTGACATTCATCAGACCCTCTGTTGTACATTAGACCCTCTGTTGTACATTAGACCCTCTGTTGTACACAAGACCCTCTGACGTACATTAGACCCTCTGACGTACATTAGACCCTCTGTTGTACATTAGACCCTCTGTTGTACATTAGACCCTCTGTTGTACACAAGACCCTCTGACGTACATCAGACCCTCTGACGTACATTAGACCCTCTGTTGTACATTAGACCCTCTGTTGTACACAAGACCCTCTGACGTACATTAGACCCTCTGACGTACATTAGACCCTCTGACGTTCATCAGACCCTCTGACGTACATTAGATCCTCTGACGTACATTAGATCCTCTGACGTACATTAGACCCTCTGACGACCCTCTGACGTTTATCAAATCAAATTTTATTTGTAGAGCACATTTAAAAACGATTTTGGTCGAGCCAAAGTGCTGTACATGTAATTTAAACACATAAAAACACATTACATCACAATAAAAGACAATAAATCATAACAGATAAAGCAACACATGGAACAGTCAGGAGTCGTGACCCCACTCTAACTAGAAGGCCAGAGAGAAGTAGTGTGTCTTCAGTGTGGATTTAAAAGCCCCTAGGGTCTGGGCCGACCTCACATGGAGGGGCAGAGTGTTCCAGAGCCTGGGGCCAGCTGCTGCGAAGGCTCGGTGCCCTCTGGGTTTGAGCCTAGTCTTAGGCACTACCAGCAGCAGCTGATCAGCCGACCTTAAGGCTCTGGGGTGTAGCGCTGGAGGAGTTCAGCTCCATAGGAGGAGCCAGCCCATTTAGTGCTTTAAATACAAATAAAAGGATTTCAAAAATCAATTCTGAACCGGACTGGAAGCCAGTGCAGTGAGGCCAGAATTGGGGTGATGTGGTCACGCTTTTTGTGGCCAGTCAGGAGACGTGCAGCTGCGTTTTGGACTAGCTGCAGGCGTTTAATTATTATCAGACCCTCTGACAACCCTCTGACGTACACCAGACCCTCTGACGACCCTCTGACGTACATTAGACCCTCTGACATTCATCAGACCCTCTGACGTACATCAGACCCCCTGATGTACACCAGACCCTCTGACGTACATTAGACCCTCTGACTTACACCAGACCCTCTGACTTACACCAGACCCTCTGACGTTCACCACACCCCCTGACGACCCTCTGACGTACATTAGACCCTCTGTTGTACACAAGACCCTCTGACGACCCTCTGACGTTCATCAGACCCTCTGACGTACATTATAGCCTCTGACAACCCTCTGACGTTTATCAGACCCTCTGACAACCCTCTGATGTACACCAGACCCTCTGACGACCCTCTGACATTCATCAGACCCTCTGACAACCCTCTGACGTATACCAGACCCTCTGATGACCCTCTGACGTACATTAGACCCTCTGATGTACACCAGACCCTCTGACGATCCTCTGACGTACATGAAACCCTTTGACAACCCTCTGATGTACATTAGACTCTCTGACGTACACCAGACCCTCTGACGTACATTAGACCCTCTGATGTACACCAGACCCTCTGACGTACATTAGACCCTCCGACGACCCTCTGACGTACATTCGACCCTCTGATGTACACCAGACCCTCTGATGTACACCACACCCTCTGATGACCCTCTGACGTACATTAGACCCTCTGACGTTCATCAGACCCTTTGACAACCCTCTGACGTATATCAGACCCTCTGAAAACCTCTGACGTACATTAGACCCTCTGACAACCCTCTGAAGTTCATCACACCCTATGACAATCCTCTGACGTACACCAGACCCTCTGATGACCCTCTGACGTACATTAGACCCTCTGATGTACACCAGACCCTCTGACGTACATTAGACTCTCTGACGTACACCAGACCCTCTAACATTCACCACACCCTCTGACGACCCTCTGAAGTTCATCAGACCCTCTGAAAACCCTCTGACGTACACCATACCCTCTGACGACCCTCTGACGTATACCAGACCCTCTGACGTACATCAGACTCTCTGACGTACACTAGACCCTCTGACGTTCACCACACCCTCTGACGACCCTCTGACGTACATTAGACCCTCTGACGCTCACCACACCCTCTGACGACCCTCTGACGTACATTAGACCCTCTGACGTACACCAGACCCTCTGACGTACACCAGACCCTCTGACGACCCTCTGACGTACATTAGACCCTCTGACGTACACCAGACCCTCTGACGTACACCAGACCCTCTGACGACCCTCTGACGTACACCAGTCCCTCTGACGTACACCACACCCTCTGACGACCCTCTGAAGTTCATCAGACCCTCTGAAAACCCTCTGACGTACACCAGACCCTCTGACAACCCTCTGACGTATACCAGACCCTCTGACGTACACCAGACTCTCTGACGTTCACCAGACTCTCTGACGTTCACCACACCCTCTGACGTTCACCACACCCTCTGACGACCCTCTGACGTACATTAGACCCTCTGACGTACACCAGACCCTCTGACGTGCACCAGACCTGGGAGTTAGTTAGATTTAGCTGGAGGATTGACTTCAGTCTGGATTTATTGAACCGTGGGAGCCTGTCCTCTGATTGGCTGGAGGTACAGACGCCACACAGCTAGGTGAGGTCAGGAGGAACTGAACGCTGATGGACTTCAGATCTGAACTGGGATGCAGTTTATTTCACAGCTGGTCTGAACACATCTCCAGCTGTGGCTCAAAGGTTCCCCACATCCTGAGTCTCAGCAGGAAGGAAACGATGACCCCGTGCAACCAGACCAGAGACAGCGCCTCAGATGTATTATCACACGGTTTAGTGCAATACTACGATACGATAGGATAACACTTTACTGGTCAGATGAAGTCTGAAATGCTCCTTGCATCACAGCAGCTCCATGTGTAACATCAACAGACACACATGAACAACAAACAACAAACATGTAACATCACAGCAGCATCAGTGAGAGATGCTCAAAGAGCCTTCAGCGTGCATCTGATCTGTAGCTCTGTGTTCACTGAGAGGACAGGAGCACAGAGGATGCTTCAGGCTGACAGGAGCACAGAGGATGCTTCAGGCTGACTGGAGCACAGAGGATGCTTCAGGCTGACTGGAGCACAGAGGATGCTTCAGGCTGACAGGAGCACAGAGGATGCTTCAGGCTGACTGGAGCACAGAGGATGCTTCAGGCTGACTGGAGCACAGAGGATGCTTCAGGCTGACTGGAGCACAGAGGATGCTTCAGGCTGGAGCACAGAGGATGCTTCAGGCTGACTGGAGCACAGAGGATGCTTCAGGCTGGAGCACAGAGGATGCTTCAGGCTGGAGCACAGAGGATGCTTCAGGCTGACTGGAGCACAGAGGATGCTTCAGGCTGGAGCACAGAGGATGCTTCAGGCTGGAGCACAGAGGATGCTTCAGGCTGACTGGAGCACAGAGGATGCTTCAGGCTGACTGGAGCACAGAGGATGCTTCAGGCTGGAGCACAGAGGATGCTTCAGGCTGGAGCACAGAGGATGCTTCAGGCTGACTGGAGCACAGAGGATGCTTCAGGCTGACTGGAGCACAGAGGATGCTTCAGGCTGTCTGGAGCACAGAGGATGCTTCAGGCTGGAGCACAGAGGATGCTTCAGGCTGACTGGAGCACAGAGGATGCTTCAGGCTGACTGGAGCACAGAGGATGCTTCAGGCTGGAGCACAGAGGATGCTTCAGGCTGGAGCACAGAGGATGCTTCAGGCTGACTGGAGCACAGAGGATGCTTCAGGCTGGAGCACAGAGGATGCTTCAGGCTGTCTGGAGCACAGAGGATGCTTCAGGCTGACTGGAGCACAGAGGATGCTTCAGGCTGTCTGGAGCACAGAGGATGCTTCAGGCTGGAGCACAGAGGATGCTTCAGGCTGGAGCACAGAGGATGCTTCAGGCTGACTGGAGCACAGAGGATGCTTCAGGCTGGAGCACAGAGGATGCTTCAGGCTGACTGGAGCACAGAGGATGCTTCAGGCTGTCTGGAGCACAGAGGATGCTTCAGGCTGGAGCACAGAGGATGCTTCAGGCTGACTGGAGCACAGAGGATGCTTCAGGCTGGAGCACAGAGGATGCTTCAGGCTGACTTTAGTGATCTCCATCAGATGGTAGCAGTTCATATTCTCTGTCAGAGCATGCTTTGGGTCCCAGATGATGCTGTTGGAGCCTCTCAGGTTATTATGGTCTGAGAGTCAGAAAGCCTCTGACGGGTGACCAACAATCTGTGAGCAGATTTTTAACATGTAATACTCCGTTCTGATTGTTCATTTTGGACATTTCAAAGTTTGTTAATACTCGATATCACACAACTGCTAAGCACAAGAATGACTGTTAAGGAGGACCAGGGGAGAAGGAAGGGGTTAAAAGCAGAGCGCTGGACGTATACAACTATGTGTTGTTGTGAGTAAACAGATTCAATTCAGATTCAAAGGTTTTATCATCATATGCTCAGCAGCTAGTAGAAACGACATTCTTCTGCCCAGAGCCTGTACCACGAAGCAGGATGTTCTCTTAGCGGCTAGATCTCCATGGTAACTGATGCTGAGCGGCTAGCCTGGTCGGGACCAGGTTAGGTTGCAGGCTAAGAGATCAACTCAGTGAAAGCACTGCCTGCTGACCAATCAGAGCTCCGTGTGCGGAGTTTAAAGCGATCAAGTCATATTACAGGAGAAAGGAAATACAGAAAAGCTGCCGTTGCAGGAAAGACGGCCGGCAAAGATCAGCGACTGTGTGAACGTGAACATGAATAGAATATCAGCTCCATCTTCAGAGCAATCTGACTATTAGAACATTAGCGTTAAGAAAGCTTACTGAAATATCTGCCACAACATCAGTAACCGGATCAGAGTCACATTAAGTACAGTCCATATCACTTCATAATGTATCATCTCCTGATCTGAGTCAGCTGAGCCGTATCTGGCCGTGCAACACTCACAGCGTCACAGACTGGATGCAGAAGCATTATTTGAAGCAACACATTAAGTTGAGGAAACACTGGAGTCAAATGTAATGAAAGTCAGATGGTGTCTTAGACGGGCAGTGATATCATAAAGCTGTTAATGTACGCATTCAAACTCTTGTTCTGTTCCCAGCTGTGTTCACCTTGCAGGTGCAGCTCTGTGGCTTTGATCCTGGATCAAGTGTTTAAGTCATGGATGTTTAAAGTTTAACTTCTTCATATGTCTAATATTAAAGTTGACTTTTCATTCAGGAAGTATGACGCTGCGCTGTCAGTACGCTTCTCCATGTCTGTGATTGGTCGAATGCTTCAGATACCACCCCTCTCATGTGAACACCTAACTAGATAGGACACGGCTGGCTTGAGCGATCCACTTGATAACCCGCATCGTAGGACCGCTTAGCGAGAGCGCGTATGTTTTGGATTAGGCCAACCGGCTAACTCAAACATATCCAGGTTACGTTGAACCGGCTTCGTAGAACAGGCCTCTGAGCTCCTCCCACAATGCTACATATATGATGACATACAACAATACAAAAATAGTGCAATAAGTCTATATAGATGTATATAGAATATGATATGTACAAGAACAGAATATTAAATTAAATAATGTACATTAAGATTAAATTAAATATGGTTTATTGCGGTGATAACTATTTATATAAAACAGAGGTGTTGTTGTGAGTAAACATGTTGTCCTCTCCTGCAGGGCAGCATCTGCGGCTTCACCATCGCCACCGGAGGCGCCGCTCGCCTCGTCTTCGGCTACGACAGCTACGGGAACACATGTGGTCAACGCAACGAGCCGATCGAGGGCGTGAGGCTGAGCGGCCTGGACCACAGCGACAGGAAGTACGTCCAACACTGTACTAGTACTGCGGTACTTTACATCAACTACTGCTGTACTGCGATGTGCTTCTTCTGTACTGCTAGTGTATTCAAACTGATCCAGGATCAGTTCCTGCTGTTGAATGCAGACGGCGGTCTGAGGTCCTGCAGGGTTCAGGGGTCTGGGTGAAGGTCTAGCAGCCGACCCTACAGGAGGAACTGAGTTGATACGAGTAGTTGAAATGATCCACAGGTAGTCCAGGGGAGTCAGGTGCTCTGCCACCTCTCTCTCCGAGCAGCTTCAGAGGAGGCAAGGAGAGGAGAGCCTGAAGTCCTCCTGTGATCTAGGACACAGCAACCAGTGCAAGAGACTGCTTTGAGATGTGCAAGTTAATACGTGTGTGTTTGTGTGTGCACGTGTGTGTACGTGTGTGTACGTGTGTGTGTGTGTGCATGTGTGTATGTGTGTGTGTGTGTGTGCGTGTGTGTGTGTGTGTGCACGTGCTTTGGAGGTTTCTCTCCCACGTCCACATTCTGCTCATTCTTAGGAGTGTGAAGGTGTTTGTTATATTTCAGCTGATTTAAAGAGGCCCTGTTCTTCTTCTGTGGTGTTCTATAGGTGTTAGTGCATGTAAATGCTCTTATTGTGGCGGGCTGACTTCCTGTGCCCTCAGGTTCATGTTGTTTTCTAAAGGCTCTTATTGTGGCGGGCTGACTTCCTGTGCCCTCAGGTGTGTGTTGTTGTAAAGGCTCTTATTGTGGCGCTCTGACTTCCTGTGCCCTCAGATTTATGTTGTTTTCTAAAGGCTCTTATTGTGGCGCTCTGACTTCCTGTGCCCTCAGGATCGTGTTGTTTTCTAAAGGCTCTTATTGTGGCAGTCTGACTTCCTGTGCTCTCAGGTTCATGTTGTTTTCTAAAGGCTCTTATTGTGGCAGTCTGACTTCCTGTGCCCTCAGGTGTGTGTTGTTGTAAAGGCTCTTATTGTGGCGCTCTGACTTCCTGTGCCCTCAGGATCGTGTTGTTTTCTAAAGGCTCTTATTGTGGCAGTCTGACTTCCTGTGCTCTCAGGTTCATGTTGTTTTCTAAAGGCTCTTATTGTGGCGGTCTGACTTCCTGTGCCCTCAGGTTCATGTTGTTTTCTAAAGGCTCTTATTGTGGCGCTCTGACTTCCTGTGCCCTCAGGATCGTGTTGTTTTCTAAAGGCTCTTATTGTGGCGGTCTGACTTCCTGTGCCATCAGGTGTGTGTTGTTGTAAAGGCTCTTATTGTGGCGCTCTGACTTCCTGTGCCCTCAGATTTATGTTGTTTTCTAAAGGCTCTTATTGTGGCGCTCTGACTTCCTGTGCCCTCAGGATCGTGTTGTTTTCTAAAGGCTCTTATTGTGGCAGTCTGACTTCCTGTGCTCTCAGGTTCATGTTGTTTTCTAAAGGCTCTTATTGTGGCAGTCTGACTTCCTGTGCCCTCAGGTGTGTGTTGTTGTAAAGGCTCTTATTGTGGCAGTCTGACTTCCTGTGCCCTCAGGTGTGTGTTGTTGTAAAGGCTTTTATTGTGGCGCTCTGACTTCCTGTGCCCTCAGGTTTATGTTGTTTTCTAAAGGCTCTTATTGTGGCGCTCTGACTTCCTGTGCCCTCAGGATCGTGTTGTTTTCTAAAGGCTCTTATTGTGGCAGTCTGACTTCCTGTGCCCTCAGGTTCATGTTGTTTTCTAAAGGCTCTTATTGTGGCGCTCTGACTTCCTGTGCCCTCAGGTTCATGTTGTTTTCTAAAGGCTCTTATTGTGGCGGTCTGACTTCCTGTGCCCTCAGGATCGTGTTGTTTTCTAAAGGCTCTTATTGTGGCAGTCTGACTTCCTGTGCCCTCAGGTTCATGTTGTTTTCTAAAGGCTCTTATTGTGGCGGTCTGACTTCCTGTGCCCTCAGGATCGTGTTGTTTTCTAAAGGCTCTTATTGTGGCAGTCTGACTTCCTGTGCCCTCAGGTTCATGTTGTTTTCTAAAGGCTCTTATTGTGGCGCTCTGACTTCCTGTGCCCTCAGGTTCATGTTGTTTTCTAAAGGCTCTTATTGTGGCGGTCTGACTTCCTGTGCCCTCAGGATCGTGTTGTTGTCTAAAGGCTCTTATTGTGGCGCTCTGACTTCCTGTGCCCTCAGGATCGTGTTGTTTTCTAAAGGCTCTTATTGTGGCGGTCTGAATTCCTGTGCCCTCAGGTTCATGTTGTTTTCTAAAGGCTCTTATTGTGGCAGTCTGACTTCCTGTGCCCTCAGGTGTGTGTTGTTCTAAAGGCTCTTATTGTGGCAGTCTGACTTCCTGTGCCCTCAGGTGTGTGTTGTTTTAAAGGCTCTTATTGTGGCGGTCTGACTTCCTGTGCCCTCAGGTGTGTGTTGTTGTGAAGGCTCTTATTGTGGCGGTCTGACTTCCTGTGCCCTCAGGTTCGTGTTGTTTTCTAAAGGCTCTTATTGTGGCGGTCTGACTTCCTGTGCCCTCAGGTGTGTGTTGTTCTAAAGGCTCTTATTGTGGCGGTCTGACTTCCTGTGCCCTCAGGTGTGTGTTGTTGTAAAGGCTCTTATTGTGGCGGTCTGACTTCCTGTGCCCTCAGGTGTGTGTTGTTCTAAAGGCTCTTATTGTGGCGCTCTGACTTCCTGTGTCCTCAGGTTCGTGTTGTTTTCTAAAGGCTCTTATTGTGGCAGTCTGACTTCCTGTGTCCTCAGGTGTGTGTTGTTCTAAAGTCTCTTATTGTGGCGGTCTGACTTCCTGTGCCCTCAGGTTCATGTTGTTTTCTAAAGGCTCTTATTGTGGCGGTCTGACTTCCTGTGCCCTCAGGTGTGTGTTGTTCTAAAGGCTCTTATTGTGGCGCTCTGACTTCCTGTGTCCTCAGGTTCGTGTTGTTTTCTAAAGGCTCTTATTGTGGCAGTCTGACTTCCTGTGCCCTCAGGTGTGTGTTGTTGTAAAGGCTCTTATTGTGGCGGTCTGACTTCCTGTGTCCTCAGGTGTGTGTTGTTCTAAAGTCTCTTATTGTGGCGGTCTGACTTCCTGTGCCCTCAGGTGTGTGTTGTTGTAAAGGCTCTTATTGTGGCGGTCTGACTTCCTGTGTCCTCAGGTGTGTGTTGTTCTAAAGTCTCTTATTGTGGCGGTCTGACTTCCTGTGCCCTCAGGTTCATGTTGTTTTCTAAAGGCTCTTATTGTGGCAGTCTGACTTCCTGTGCCCTCAGGTGTGTGTTGTTCTAAAGTCTCTTATTGTGGCGGTCTGACTTCCTGTGCCCTCAGGTTCATGTTGTTTTCTAAAGGCTCTTATTGTGGCAGTCTGACTTCCTGTGCCCTCAGGTGTGTGTTGTTTTAAAGGCTCTTATTGTGGCGGTCTGACTTCCTGTGCCCTCAGGTGTGTGTTGTTGTAAGGCTCTTATTGTGGCGGTCTGACTTCCTGTGCCCTCAGGTGTGTGTTGTTGTAAAGGCTCTTATTGTGGCGGTCTGACTTCCTGTGCCCTCAGGTGTGTGTTGTTCTAAAGGCTCTTATTGTGGCGGTCTGACTTCCTGTGCCCTCAGGTGTGTGTTGTTCTAAAGGCTCTTATTGTGGCGGTCTGACTTCCTGTGCCCTCAGGTGTGTGTTGTTCTAAAGGCTCTTATTGTGGCGGTCTGACTTCCTGTGCCCTCAGGTGTGTGTTGTTCTAAAGGCTCTTATTGTGGCGGTCTGACTTCCTGTGCCCTCAGGTGTGTGTTGTTCTAAAGGCTCTTATTGTGGCGGTCTGACTTCCTGTGCCCAGGTTCGTGTTCTTCTTGGACCCGTGTAACATCGACATCGTTCAGAGGAAGATCCGCTCCCTGGCTCTCTGTGTGTCTCTGTGCCCCCCCGAGAAGATGGAAACCTACCAGGACCTGAAGAGGTTCGCCATGCTCAACGGTGAGGCCGCCGCCGGGGCTGATGGGAGATGTAGTGTGTAGGGGAAAGAGAGTCCAACTCAGGGAAAAGAGCAGCTTTGTCTACAAAAGGTTTCACTTTAGGGTTCATTTTAAACACGAGCATTACTCTCTACATTTATCAGATCACCCTAAGCCACACGCAATAGGATTAGCTTGATGCTTCATATTTTGTTTCTGTACATTTGTATTTCAACATTTTCTACTTTTTCAATGCTATTCTATTTGAGACGTTCACATGTTGGATTGTTCATTTCTAGTCTTTTCATTTCTCTAATGCTTTGTTTTTATGCTGCTGCAGCGCAAACATTTCACACATTGGGATCAACAAAGTACTTCTCATCTTATGAGAACAGAAAGATATTCATTCATAATATTTGAATATATTATTGTATTTTATTAAAATCGTGAGACTAACTCATCAGCGCTGCACGTCATGCTGATGATGTCATGTCTGCAGACACAGTGTGACACAGCACCAGTGTACTGTACACACACACATACACACACACACACACACACACACACACACACACACACACACACACACACACACACACACAACACAACACACACACACACACACACAACACACACACACACACACACACACACACCACACACACACACACACACACACACACACACACACACACACACACACACACACACACACTACACACACACACACACACACACTACACACACACACACACACACACACACACACACACACATACACACACACACACATACACACATACACACATACACACACACACACACATACACACACATACACATACACACACATACACATACACACACACACACTTAATGAAAGGAGTGTCTCACACACTGTTTCTGTTATTGTGTCCACCCTGAGGCTCTCCGGAGGAACACGTCTCCCTCCTCCTGTCACTCAAACACCCACTCTGCTGTCTGACAGGAAGCAGAGGAGCTAATGCTAATGCTAACGGAACTAATGCTAGTGGAGGTTCCATAGAGTTACATCGCGGTGCGTTCAGGCTCTGCTGTCAGAAACACAATCTGACAAGAAGTCAGCAGGGGAGCTAGCCAGTGCTAACAGAGCTAACGCTAATGGAGCTAACGCTAATTGAACTAATGCTAAAGGAGGTTCCATAGAGTTATATCGTGGTGCATTCAGGCTCATCCCGTCTCTCTGTGTTCTCTTTCAGGTTCCGAGTTGTGTTCCTATGAGTTAGCGGGTCACAAATATCCAGGTCTCCCTGAGAGGTTCTCCAGATGTCCCAAACTTCCTGTTCCGCCCAGGTGAGTCCAAAACACTGACCTCTGACCCGCAGTAAGCAGGTGTTTGACCTCTGTTAGAAACATCTCCCTGGTCCCCGGCTTGAGCTTCAGCCTCAGGATCCATGTATCTGTGATCCTCTCCAGAATGGAAGGAGTCATCACATACAGAGCATCAACTAGTTCCTGAACAGTGTCCTTCACATGCTGATATCAAGAGAGGGAGTTACACAGTCACAAGATGGAGGAATAGAAAGCAGTATTCAATGTTTACTTCAGATTAGCTCCACGTCAGAAATGAGCATGCTTGATGTCTCTCTCCATAGAGGCTGAATCATCATGTTAATCACATAGCTATCATCTGCCTCAAACAGTCCTGATGCTCTTCTAGGTCATCACACATCCTGTCATGTTCTCAGCTACAGTTGGGGTACCTTTGTTATCATGTTACTCTGATGTTGGAAGAGTGCTGTTTGACCTCTGACCTCTCCCCGCAGTAAGCCCCTCCCGGTGTTTAACCGCTGCACCCCGGTGGATATCTCCTGCTATGCTAAGTTCTCGGAGGCGGTGGTGACGTTCGTCGGGGATCACAGCGTTCTGCATCGTCTGATCGCAGGGGTCGCCGCCAGCAAAGAGATCATCATCGGGCTGTGTGTGCTGGCCCTGAGTGAGCGACACACACACTGCGATACTGTGACTAACATGTCTCTGACTCAAAGACCCTCAAAGGACCCCTATTAGACTCCTTTATCACCAATATATAACAATGCCGCTGTTACAAATGTCCTATTTGGGTTGCCGTACGTAGCTGTCCAATATGCAGACCAACTCGGGTGTTCAGAGATGCCTTCAGGTACATCAGGTGCTCCTCTAACCTGTCTCTCAGGTAGTCAGAGATGCATTCAGGTACATCAGGTGCTCCTCTAACCTGTCTCTCAGGTAGTCAGAGATGCGTTCAGGTACATCAGGTGCTCCTCTAACCTGTCTCTCAGGTAGTCAGAGATGCGTTCAGGTACATCGGGTGCTCCTCTAACCTGTCCTCTCAGGTAGTCAGAGATGCCTTCAGGTACATCAGGTGCTCCTCTAACCTGTCTCTCAGGTAGTCAGAGATGCGTTCAGGTACATCAGGTGCTCCTCTAACCTGTCTCTCAGGTAGTCAGAGATGCGTTCAGGTACCTCAGGTGCTCCTCTAACCTGTCTCTCAGGTAGTCAGAGATGCCTTCAGGTACATCAGGTAATCCTCTAACCTGTCTCTCAGGTAGTCAGAGATGCGTTCAGGTACATCAGGTGCTCCTTTAACCTGTCTCTCAGGTAGTCAGAGATGCGTTCAGGTACATAGGGTGCTCCTCTAACCTGTCTCTCAGGTAGTCAGAGATGCCTTCAGGTACATCAGGTAATCCTCTAACCTGTCTCTCAGGTAGTCAGAGATGCGTTCAGGTACATCAGGTGCTCCTTTAACCTGTCTCTCAGGTAGTCAGAGATGCCTTCAGGTACATCAGGTAATCCTCTAACCTGTCTCTCAGGTAGTCAGAGATGCGTTCAGGTACATAGGGTGCTCCTCTAACCTGTCCTCTCAGGTAGTCAGAGATGCGTTCAAGTACATCAGGTGCTCCTCTAACCTGTCTCTCAGGTAGTCAGAGATGCGTTCAGGTACATCAGGTGCTCCTCTAACCTGTCTCTCAGGTAGTCAGAGATGCCTTCAGGTACATCGGGTGCTCCTCTAACCTGTCCTCTCTGGTAGTCAGAGATGCGTTCAGGTACATCAGGTGCTCCTCTAACCTGTCTCTCAGGTAGTCAGAGATGCCTTCAGGTACATCGGGTGCTCCTCTAACCTGTCCTCTCTGGTAGTCAGAGATGCGTTCAGGTACATCGGGTGCTCCTCTAACCTGTCCTCTCTGGTAGTCAGAGATGCGTTCAGGTACCTCAGGTGCTCCTCTAACCTGTCTCTCCTCCTCAGTCCTCTCCATGATCCTGATGCTCATCATCCGCTACATCTCTGCGCTGCTCGTCTGGATCCTCACCTCTCTGGTGGTGCTGGGGTCTCTGGGTGAGCTCACTTCCTGTCTGTATAACCCTCTGAGCTCACTTCCTGTCTGTATAACCCTCTGAGCTCACTTCCTGTCTGTGTCTCAGCGGGGACCAGCGTCCTCTGGTGGCTCTACATCGATCACCGTCTCTATGGAAACGCCACCAGCAGTCACCTGAGGGAGGAGCTTAGAGAGGAGGGGGCAGAACTTAGAGCGGAGGGGGCGGAGCTTAGGGACAGTGGGCAGGCGCTGCTTGTCTACGCCGCCGCCGCCACCGTCTTCACCGTGAGGAACTTTATTACCACACGTTTTAAAATCTAACGTCTTTCTTTAAAGGTGTCCTATCATGCTAAATGCACTTTTTAGAAGTCTAAGTCCAACCCTTAAATAACCCTTAAAGGACCCTTAAGGGACCCCTATTAGACTCTTTATCACCAATATATAACATGTCTCTGACTCAAAGACCCTTAAAGGACCCTTAAAGGTACATTCAGTGCATGAGAACGATGTTTTTGCCTGCCGTGTCTCGCCTTAACCTTAAATTCTTCCCCAATAACTGTGTTGTTGTTGTTGTTGTTGTTGCTGCTGTCAGATCATCCTGCTGCTGCTCATGCTGTTCATGAGGAAGCGGGTGGCGCTCACCATCGCTCTGTTCCACGTGGCGGGGAAGGTGTTCCTGCACCTGCCGCTGCTCGCCCTGCAGCCCTGCCTCACCTTCCTGGCCCTGCTGCTCTTCTGGAGCTACTGGGTCCTAGTGCTGCTCTTCCTGGGCACCAGCGGTGAGTTGTGGCCTCAAACACACACACATCTGTTCTTTATGTAGTGATGGGAATTACGGCCCTTTGGAGGGAGCCGGATCTTATGGCTCTGTTCCTTTCCGAGAGCCGTTCAAAAGAGCCGTTCAAACGAGCCGTTCAAACGAGCCGTTCAAACGAGCCGTTCAAAAGAGCCGTTCAAACGAGCCGTTCAAAAGAGCCGTTCAAACGAGCCGTTCAAACGAGCCGTTCAAAAGAGCCGTTCAAACGAGCCGTTCAAACGAGCCGTTCAAACGAGCCGTTCAAAAGAGCCGTTCAAACGAGTCGTTCAAAAGAGCCGTTCAAACGAGCCGTTCAAAAGAGCCGTTCAAACGAGCCGTTCAAAAGAGCCGTTCAAAAGAGCCGTTCAAACGAGCCGTTCAAACGAGCCGTTCAAACGAGCCGTTCAAAAGAGCCGTTCAAACGAGCCGTTCAAAAGAGCCGTTCAAACGAGCCGTTCAAACGAGCCGTTCAAACGAGCCGTTCAAAAGAGCCGGTGTAGATTATTTGTTGACCCTGCTTTCAATGATATTCTGGCTTTACAAATGTTGCACTCCGCTTCATCATTGCCTATGTTTTTGTTGAAGTTTATCCAAATACTGCTGCGTTTTCACGTAGGGTTCATTTGCTCACCCTAAAACACGTGGTCTGCCTGTACCTACTTTGTCAATCTTTCAGTTTGTGTGTACAGAGAGATTGAAATTCCATTTCCCACAATCCAGAATATAAAACAAATATATATAAAAATATGTGTGTGTGTATATATATATCAGAGGTTGCGCTAGACTTTTTCGCTGCCTGTCATTTTGACTGACAGGATCGTAAAACTTCTGTCAAAATCCAGAATTACCCGTCAGCCTTTACACAACTCTGACGAGGGGGGGGGGAGCATGCTCGTGAACTGTCAACGGGGGGGGAGTGTTCACATGCGCCGTGTTATGCATGGCTGCTACACCTCGCGGGAGCGTGCACAGCGTAAAGCCAAAACTCCCAGACATTTCAATGATCTGTACGGCACAGTTAGGTTTGGAAACGGTATCATTTCCTTTGGCGCTGTTCCGAGTTTGTTCTAATCTGTCAAAATGACGGACTGCTTTCAGATTTGTCCGTCATTGTTAAAAAAAATCCGTCATAGACGGAAAATATTCGGTTAACGCGACCTCTGATATATATATATATATACACAGAATCAAAGACACATTTCCTCATATGCACACATTAAAACCTAAATCAAAACACAACAATCAATATATACAAAATAACAGTCACTTCAATATCTTTGAGAATGTAGTGTGGATCCCCCAGAGCATTGTGGGAACTGTAGTGTGGATCCCCCAGAGCATTGTGGGAACTGTAGTGTGGATCCCCCAGAGCATTGTGGGAACTGTAGTGTGGATCCCCCAGAGCATTGTGGGAACTGTAGTGTGGATCCCCAAGAGCATTGTGGGAACTGTAGTGTGGATCCCCAAGAGCATTGTGGGAACTGTAGTGTGGATCCCCAAGAGCATTGTGGGAACTGTAGTGTGCATCCCCCAGAGCATTGTGGGAACTGTAGTGTGGATCCCCCAGAGCATTGTGGGAACTGTAGTGTGGATCCCCCAGAGCATTGTGGGAACTGTAGTGTGGATCCCCCAGAGCATTGTGGGAACTGTAGTGTGGCATCCCCAGAGCATTGTGGAACTGTAGTGTGGATCCCCCAGAGCATTGTGGGAACTGTAGTGTGGATCCCCCAGAGCATTTTGGGAACTGTAGTGTGGATCCCCCAGAGCATTGTGGGAACTGGAGTGTGGATCCCCCAGAGCATTGTGGGAACTGTAGTTGGATCCCCCAGAGCATGATTGGGAAACTATGTAGTGTGGATCCCCAAGAGCATTGTGGGAACTGTAGTGTGGATCCCCCCAGAGCATTGTGGGAACGGTAGTGTGCATCCCCCCAGAGCATTGTGGGAACTGTAGTGTGGATCCCCCAGAGCATTGTGGGAACTGTAGTGTGATCCCCCAGAGCATTGTGGGAACTGTAGTGTGGATCCCCCAGAGCATTGTGGGAACTGATAGTGTGGATCCCCAAGAGCATGTGGGAACTGTAGTGTGGATCCCCCAGAGCATTGTGGGAACTGTAGTGTGGATCCCCAGAGCATTGTGGGAACTGTAGTGTGCATCCCCCAGAGCATTGTGGGAACTGTAGTGTGGATCCCCCAGAGCATTGTGGGAACTGTAGTGTGGATCCCCACAAGAGCATTGTGGGAACTGTAGTGTGATCCCCCAAGAGCATTGTGGGAACTGTAGTGTGGATCCCACCAGAGCATTGTGGGAACTGTAGTGTGGATCCCCCAGAGCATTGTGGGAACTGTAGTGTGGATCCCCCAGAGCATTGTGGGAACTGTAGTGTGGATCCCCCAGAGCATTGTGGGAACTGTAGTGTGCATCCCCAAGAGCATTGTGGGAACTGTAGTGTGCATCCCCAAGAGCATTGTGGGAACTGTAGTGTGCATCCCCCAGAGCATTGTGGGAACTGTAGTGTGGATCCCCAAGAGCATTGGTGGGAACTGTAGTGGATCCCCAAGAGCATTGTGGGAACTAGTGTGGATCCCCAAGAGCATTGTGGGAAACTGTAGTGTGGATCCCCAAGAGCATTGTGGGAACTGTAGTGTGCATCCCCAAGAGCATTGTGGGAACTGTAGTGTGCATCCCCCAGAGCATTGTGGGAACTGTAGTGTGGATCCCCCAGAGCATTGTGGGAACTGTAGTGTGGATCCCCAAGAGCATTGTGGGAACTGTAGTGTGGATCCCCCAGAGCATTGTGGGAACTGTAGTGTGGATCCCCAAGAGCATTGTGGGAACTGTAGTGTGGATCCCCAGAGCATTGTGGGGAACTGTAGTGTGGATCCCCCAGAGCATTGTGGGAACTGTTAGTGTGCATCCCCCAGAGCATTGTGGGAACTGTAGTGTGGATCCCCCGAGCATTGTGGGAACTGTAGTGTGGATCCCCCCAAGAGCATTGTGGGAACTGTAGTGTGGCATCCCCCAGAGCATTGTGGGAACTGTAGTGTGGATCCCAAGAGCATTGTGGGAACTGTAGTGTGGCATCCCCAAGAGCATTGTGGGAACTGTAGTGTGGCATCCCCCAAGAGCATTGTGGGAACTGTAGTGTGGCATCCCCAAGAAGCATTGTGGGAACTGTAGTGTGGCATCCCGCCAGAGCATTGTGGGGTAACTGTAGTGTGGATCACCCCAGAGCATTGTGGGAACTGTAGTGTGGATTCCCCCAGAGCCATTGTGGGTAACTGTAGTGTGGCATCCCCAGAGGCATGTGGGGCACTGTAGTGGTGGATCCCACAGAGCAGTGTGGGAACTGTAGTGTGGCTCCCCAGAGCATTTGTGGGGAACCTGGAGTGTGGGATCCCACAGAGCATTGTGGGAACTGTAGGTGGGATCCCCCAGAGCATTGTGGG